CCCGAGAAGAGAATGGAGGAGAAGGGATTGTGGTGTGGCCACTCCCCCTGGCGGGTGATTTCTTGCTTTCTGTCTGTCTGCGTCTTTCTGGAGAACGCACACACCCTACAGCAAAAAAACGCTCAAAAAAAAAAAAAAAAAACCCTCAAATGTGGAATCCACAGATAAAAAACCCAGATATGAAAAGCTGACTGTAATAACAAGAAACTGGAACACTTACCAGTTTTTCAATTTCTGATTCAAGATTCTGTATACAGTCAAGTTTCCTCTTGCGACAGCGCTGTGCAGCAATTCTGTTTTTACTTCTTCTTCGAATATCATGAATACAATCCAGCTGTTCTGGAGTCAGCTTGTGCATTTTCAACAAGGATTGAAAATCATTTCGAGAGAGTGAAATAATTCGTTGTGCATTAAATGGCAGTTTTACCTAGAATACAAAATATCAGTAATCCTTGCTGAATTTTGTAATTATACTTAAATCTAAGAAGATGAAGATATAATTCTAGGTTTTTTTAGAGAATATCATTTAGATTTTTAAAAAACTGAATCTCTATTCGCAATTTCTATATAACCCATTATGATTAAAAAAACTTAGTTTAACTGATATATCTAATCTATTTTAGAGGACAAATTTGGAAGCAGGTATTTTTCAGCAATCAAATATATTATGATAAACATTAATGTATTTAAAATGGAAAGACATAAATACTACATACTAATATCCCACAGACCTCTTTATTTTTTTTTTCCTGCTGTAGAGCTCAATGAAGAAAGAAAGAGAGTGAGAAAGCAGGCCCCTGTGGGGAACATCGCACCATAATCCCTTGTCTTCCATTCTCTTTTTTTGAACATGTAAATACATGTTCCTGGTGTATTTCTCAAGTGGGTCTGGATGAACTGCGCAGCCAGCCATGTGGGATCCAGTAGTCTTAACCACTATGTCCCCAGCTGGCCCTCCTACAGACATCTTTATAATGTTTTTTTTTAATTGATTTTAAAAAACTTGAAAATTTTTTTGCAAGTCAAAATAAAATCTGTTTTTTTTTTTTTAGTATTACTATGAAGCAGTGATTTAATATTGACATAATAATGCCAGTGATTCCTACAGCACTTCAGGAAATGTATGTTTCTGTCAAGAAAATAATGACTTCACATAACTCATTTTAAAAGCTACACATTCTGATTGTCAATGTAGAAAAGGTTAGAAAAACCTTATGAATATTTTAAAGTCATTTTAAACATAAACTTGGAGAAAAGCTTTTAAAAACTTTTAAATAACAGAACTACGGGAATCTAATTGTGTTATCAAAATTGCAAACTGGACACTGACCAGTTAAGTCTGGCAACCTACTTAGCTTGCCTTAAAAGGCTTATAGAAATTAGTTACAAAAAACGTTTTAAATTTAAAAAATTTTATTTCTAACATTTTTTTCATAGTAATTCCAAATACTACATCTATAAATGTCAGCTATAAGCCATGCATACATGCTACTTCGTAAAACCATTAATCCACTTCATTCTAGTAGCCAAGGGAAAAAAACCTTCTTTCACACCTGTGCTACCTAACAGCTACGCAATCAAAGAAAATGCTAAAGAATAGAAAGAGAAACTGGAATCCTTATAATCTCTTGGAAAAATGGTGCACTGCTGCAGAAAGCAGTATGGCAGCTTCTCAGAACATTAACAAATTAACCACCAGAGGATCCAGTAATCTCACTCCTGGGTATTTACCCAAAAGAACTAAAATCTGATTCTTGAAAAGATTTCTGTGTCCTGTGTTCACTGCAGAACTATTCACAATAGCCAATATATAAAAACAACCTAAATGCCCTTGTACTGATGAATGGATAAATGGAATGTGAAATACTATTCCGCTTTATAAAAAGAAGGAAACTGCCACTTGCTACAACATGGATGAACTTAAGAAGATACACAAAGGGAAAGCAAGCCAGGCACAGAAGAACAAATCCTATATGGCCTCAGTTACCTAAAAAAAGTCAAACTCATAAAAACAGTAGAATGGTGGAGAAGGGCTAGAGGGAGGGGAAAAGGGGGAGTTGCTGTTCAATAGGTAAAATTTCAGTTATACAAGTTCTAGAGATCTGTGGTACAACATTGAGCCTATAGTTGAAAATATTGGGTTGTACACTTAAAATTTTTTTACAAGGAGAAAGGCAGACAGTGGCATAGCAGTAACATAACACTTTGCAAGGCTGAGCCTCATAGGAAGGTCCCAGGTTTGCATCTGGAGATCACTGCGAACATGCCAGGTGCACGTATGCCCATGATCTGAGGCAAGCTGAGGCTGGTGGTGGATCACAGTGTGGGGACCCTGTGCCTATTCCTCTGTTTCTCTCTGTTTCTTTCGATCATATAAGAAACTGATAAGCTTTGGGGGAAAAACTGTTTTAAGAGTACACATAATGTTTTTACCATAACCAAAAAATAAAGTATAAGAAATGAGGGAAAATGTACTAAGTTAAATAGAAAAGTAACTTGAAAAATAAATGCAAGTTGCAACTATAAAGAGAAAATCCAACTTTTAAAACTAAAATAATATTAAAAAGAAAGGATATTTTAAAAACAGAATTAACCAGATTTATATTTTACAAAAAGCAGCTTTAAAATACAAACTTTTGTACACAGAGTACACAGACCAAGATTGGTATGATCGATATGACACTAGCTATGTGTAACTCTTGCAAAATTATTAAAGACAGTTATTAAACTAATAACTGAAATAATAAGAGGAAATAAGAAAATCAATGGGCATACAAAATTAGATCCAAGAGAGCTTTACATTAGAAGCCATATTCCTACAACTAGTCACTGCTAAACCATTGTTAAGTGACTAATCTCAGGTCTAGAAATCTTTGTGGCAAAGAACAAGATTGAACATTTGTTGCACTTTTCCAGAAGTTACATAATGATCCTAAAAACATTCTTCTTCTTCTTCTTGGGACATGGCATTTGATTTAAGCAGCCAATGCATGAATCTACTCCCTAGTTAATATGAACAGACCTACTTGAAATAATGATCAAAGTTCTTCAAACTCCATCTCATCCTATAATTACTATGTATCAAGTGTCCTCCTCCCTCCCTGAGCCTGCTCATATCCTTAGTGATGCAACATGAGTTGACCCAGCATAAATCCCAATTAGTGGTTGTTAACAATGAATCAGGAACACACTCCTGCTCACCTCACATTCCTGTTCCCTTGCTGAACAGGATTCACTGTCTCCTTCTGTGTCTGTCTCAGAGTCGTCGCCCAAGCTAATCACACAAGCATATGGACAAGGTTCCTGCTGGGGTTCTGAAGCATAATCGTCGTTTCCAATTTCCAAACTGCTGGAACAGCCTTCGGTACTCAGAGTACTTATAAAAGGGCAGTTGACAGAACTTAATGTTGTAAAAGTTCTTTGACCTGGTTCTGGGCTCTCGCTGATCCTGATACCTAACCAGGGACACTCAGACCGTTTCTGTGAGTAGGTCTGTTCTGAGCCATCTTTGGCCATGGCGGGTGATAACTGAACCTGGCAAGGAGAGTCTGTGCTGCAAATGTCACTCCAGAAGCCTTTTGCTAGGTGTTCTGCCACTTCTCTTTCCACACTACTCCGATCACTAGATGCAAGGCTACTGTCTTCCTTGGGGCCTGAGTCAGATTTCAAATGTAAATCTTGACCTTCACCAAATGTTTTCTCTTCTTGAACATCTGTACCTGACAAGGGCTTTTCTGTTAACACTGTTGTGTTTTGCATACTAGCAAAATTCAAGTCACCATATTGGTCATATGTGTGTAAAAGAGAAAGAGAATAGAGTCCATGAGGGTCTGCAGAAGAATTGTGGGGGAAAGGAGTCATTTCTGATTTTTCAGTTGGGCACTGAGAAGCAAGATCTTTCTTCTTTGTTTCTTCATGTTCCATCGCTAATTTACTTTCTTCACATTTTAAAATCACCTGCAAATCTGCACAGTCTTGTGCTCCTCCTAGACATTCATTTTCAGAGGTCTCATTTGGCTGAACAGAAGCATGGACATCTTTGACACTAGACTCCACAGAGCGGATTCTGTCAGTTCCAAAAGCTTTTTGGAATTTTCTGTATTTGGGGCATAAAGATGGCAAAGCCAGGGCAGCATCTTTTTCTAAGCACATGGATTCACATGTCTGACTGGCACTGTCTTGTAGAGGTGGTGATATTTTTGAATTGCCTTGATACCTGCGGAGTTTACATTGAGGAGTCTGAACATTTTTATTTTCCAGAAAGTCTACTTCATCAATTTCTAGATCCCGCTGGTCCAAAAGTGAAAATTTAAGGTCTGTTTTCTGACAGTGTGGAGGAAAACATTTTTTTCTTGGGCATTCTTGCTGGTCTGCAGTGGAGTCCAAAAACTTAAATTTGAGAAACTGAAAGCAGGATTCCTCAATATTATGTACACTTAAAAATTCCACACACTTGCACACTTCATCCACATTGTCTTTACTTAAAATCAGTTTGGCAGTATAGGCAAACTGAATTAAAGGTTCAAATCCTTTAACTGTTACCTGTCGATATACAAAATAAAAACAAACACACCATTTGAAAGCTGTCCAACAGATTAAAAACAAGAGAAGTAGAAAGGGAATAGAAATGTGTAATTTATTTGTGATAATTATAAAATAAAATTTGGTAAGAAAAACTCTCCTAGGAAATGCACAACTAAGGAAGTCTGGAAAGGCAGGCTTGTCACACCCTCTTCGTCAAGATCACACCCTTCACTTTATAGATTCCACTCTTAATTGCACATGACCTATGGTTTACTAACATGAGGTAAAAACTGAAGACATTACATAACTTTCCCATATTAGCAGAAATAAACAATCTATGAAATAACGAAGGAAGGACACCACTTGCCCCCACACAGTGAAGTAACAGGTATCTGTTGCTTAGCCCAGCTCCTCACAGCCACTATGTTCCCAACAACTTTAACTACTGTACTTAAACTATGAATGTGAAAGGTTTAAGGATAAGAAACAACATATGTAAAGCACTTATAACGAAGTCCTGACCTATAGTAAATGCACATAAAATAGTAACTATTTTTATCTTATGCCAAACAATTCTAATAAAATTTTTAAAGATTTAGATTTTAAAAAGTACTCTAATTTAAGGTCTAAAATTTATGTCTTGGTACTGTTTACGCAAAGATTCATGGACTCTAGCTAATAAAACCTTTAAGTAGGAAAGTTCGCATTTATATTAAACCTGTCCTGTAAAGAAAAGAACAGAACCTGCTGAAATGGCTCATCCTGGGTTAAAATTAATCTTAAAACACTGAGTTCCTATTACAATAATCATGATATTAACAATTCTGATCTTCTTAAAAACATGCAAAACTGAAGCCAGCAGGTGGCATGGTGGTTAAGGCTCTGAGCTCCCATATGACCGATCATGGTTTGAGTCCTGCACCCAGTAGCTTGAAAATCATGCTGGTGTGTGCTCAAAATCCTGGGAGGATAATGGAGGTGAAGGGACTGTGGTGTGACCATCCCTCCAAGGGGGTGATTTCTCACTTTCCAAACTCTCTCTCTTTCTAATGACCACACACAAAAATCTAAAGGAAAAAAAAAAGCAAAACTGTAAGTATCTGACTTCTATGTGGCTAAAATAAAAATCAGTGACACCACCAGATGTTGGAAGAATACAGAGAAGCTGGCTCGCTCACACAATGCTCGTGAGAATATAAAATGGTACAGCCACTTTGAAACACAATTTGGCAGTTTATTATAAAACCTAACACACAACTACCATACTATCTGGCAATTATAGTCCTGGTCTTATATCCCAAAGAAGTGAAAATGTATATTCAAACAAAACCTGTGCACATATGTTCATAGCAACTTCATTTGTAACAGTCAAAAAACTAGAATTAGCCCAATTTCAACAGGTAAAAAGCTAAAACAACAACAACAAATGCCTAATACATCCATACTATGGAATATTACTCAGCAATAAAAACCAACCAATATTGATAAACACAATATGGATAATCAAAAGGGAATTATGCTAAGTGTTTTTTTTTAAAAAAAAAAAAAGTCCCCAAAGGTCACATATGTATGATTCATGTCCCTTTGCTAATTTACTTCACCATTTATATAACATTTATATAAAATTGTTATATAACATTCTTGAAATGGCAAAACTTTAGAAAAGGAAGACAGATTAGTGGTTCCCAGCGGTTAGGAATAGGAGGAGGAGGTAAGAGAATGAGAGGATGAGGGTGGGAAAGAGATGCGTGTGGTTTAAAAGGGAAAGATAAAGGGTCCTTGGGTGTTTAGTATCTTAACTGTGCTAGTAGATAATGGACCTTCACAGGGGATAAAACCATACAGAAAACATGCACACACACAATTAGTACAAGTAAAACTGGAGCAATCTGAATACCATGGGTAGATTGTTATCAACCTCAATATGCTGGTTGCAATACTACAATTTTGTACAATGTTATTAATAGGGGACCACTGAGCAAAGTGTAAAGGGGAACTCTGTGTTACCTCTTACAACTGCATATGAAGTTACAGTTACCTCAATAAAAATTTTAATTAATGTTAAGTGAAAATAACCAATAAGGCCATTAAGGTAGTGAGTTATACAATTATATTTTCAGTGTCATTATGATGAAGCACTTCAAATACTTAAAACGTGTAACTTACACTTCAACAAATAATTAGGTTGTCAGGAAAGTAATGACACATTTTTGCATAGAAAAACATGTCATGACTTTCCTGACAACCTAATAGAATGAAGGAATGAATGAACTTATGCATGCATGCATGCAAGAAGTATTCTTCCTCCTAAACCCATGAATCAAAGTCTGCTCTACTTTGAAAATCTCAAAAGGCACTGAGAAAATAATAGCCATAGCAAGTATATCTCTATTATGATACATGCTGTTCCTTTTTTAAAACAACGGCTAGTCTATAGTTGGCCTTTTATTGTCATTTTGTTGGTATTACACCATTCACTCTGACCACACCATAGACCTGAGAGAGAATCTATTTCTAAAACTGTAGCTACATTTCAATAGAAATATGATTGGTCAGCAACAAGCTAAACTGCACACTTAGTCTGCCATTTAGCCAACTCTATTCAACCAGGAATATCTCCCATAAATCTGTGATACACAAAGAAGTTCTACATTCTCCATATTCCTCTTAACCACTTCCCATTGTGTCCCAATGCCACACAGTCTGCTAGTAGTAATTATTAACTGGATAATGCAAGCTGTCCTAATAAGAGACAGTGTAATCAGCACTTCCCCACCTAAAGAAGAGGTCTCTTGATGGTAGTATGATCAAAGACTCAAACATTTATGAAGCTTGAGCTCCACAAAAAACCTAAGGAAAAAGATGTATAAAAAAGCAAGATCAAATTATTTCTTCTTTCTACCAATCTACAAAGATAGTCTCCAGAAAGAAGCAAGAGAGAGGAACACTAAAAGAGCACTCACTTTTCATGGAGGATATCTTAGGAAAATCGACTATTTATAGAACCCCAAACCTAGTCATAGTTGCCAATCACAGGAAAAAAGTCCATCGGGAGAGACTGTCACAAAGCATAGCCTCTCCAAATGTCATGCATGTCTATAATCCACTGGGTATGCCCAATAAGATCATTTTAGCAAAAAGAACATAACAGTAGGTCAAGTTATCCAATTGTTCAATAAATACTGTTAAACAGCATCCCAAATTAATGATTTTATATGTAAATATTATAATTTCTGTAAGAAAAAGCTAAAGAAATGGGTTGTAGCAGAACTTGGAAAATGTTTCTCAGCCACCTAACAAGGAAACTATGCCTTATTTTGAACTTTATAAACCATAAGGAACTTAAAAGTAAAATTAATTGACAATCAGACAGCAGGAACATGGACCTTCTCACCTCTTCTGGTAGAGTGATGTTAAGCTCTGCATCTGCCTGGCCTACAATTCTTGAGTGGAAGTAACTGCTGCATGCTGCCAACACAGACCGGTGGGCACGGAATCGCTGGCCCTCCACTAAGACGGTGACGTCGCACAGCACATCTTTCTTCCGCTGGTCATTCAGGCTGAGTAAGACGTTGGTGCTATGCACAGAGGATTCATAGGCAAAAACCGAGTTCTCACTCAGAGACATTCTGCGTAACAAATTATGTCGGGAAGTTCAGTGGAAAGCATTCTTCTAACTGTCATCAACCTGTAAAGATACATGCAAGATTTCCCTTAAATAACATCTTCTTTAAAAATCTTTTTAAAAATGACAATGTCAAATATAAATTAAAATACATATTCATCACTGAAACAAAAATGGAAATAAAAGCTTCTGGAGGAACAACCTAGAAATACTGATTTGATAACCCTCATTTAAGGATCTTTGAGGTTAGCCATGGTGGTAAAGTAGCATAGCACTTGCAATGCTGAAGCCATGTGGTAGAAGGTTATGGGGTTTACCTCCCAAGGTCTCTCTACACATGCCTATATACACATGTCTGTTTTCCTGGCTGGCTGAAGCTGGCAGTGAATGGCAGCATGGGGAACCTGCTGGAAGTACACTCTCTATAATAAAACATTTTTTAAAAAATAGGTTCCATTTTTTTTTCTGTTGCCAAAGGGTGTGTGTGCTAACCAGAGAGAGAGAGAGAGAGAGAATCCCTAAAAGGGGTGTGGTCATGCCACAATCATTTTTCCTCCATTTTTCCATCCCGTCGGGATTTTGGGAACACATGCATACATACCAGGTATGCTTTTTGGATCTGGCTCTCAATGCACCACACTTAATCACTGCATTATGGGGCTGCTTCTCTCCTCTTTCCCCCCTCCCCCCCATATCTCTCCCCAAAAAAACTGGCTCTTGACAATAACTGTTCTAATTTTAGGAAAAAGACTCTAGGAATACAGGAGGGAGAAAACATTTTGAATCAAAGAACTCATGGCTCTCTGAAAGTGAGACATTTCACACTGAGAAAATACCTACTATGAGCAAATAGATGGGCCTCGAACATTTCTGGGTGGCATCCTAACACTGCTGCTTTAAGACAGTTAATGAGTATGTGTATGTGGTAGGAAGGGAGGTCACCAAAGATCACTCTCTTGGATAAGGTTGAACAGTAGTTCAGGAGAATGGCTTTTCAACATCCTCCATGTGCCCCCCTGCCCCCGCGCCATTTCCCTTCTTCTGACTGATGTTAGGACGGTTTAGTGCTTCATAACAAGGGACAATTCTGCAAAAGGTAAAGTTCTTCTAACACAAAGAAAATGACTCTGATTTGTCATGTCAGATCTTATAGGAATGAGACTTTTTTTAAAGAAAGTCTCACTTTACACTAAAAGGTAAGCATCAAGTAAAACTATTTTCTTATTAAGAGCATGCTTTATCAGACACAGAAGCTCTTGATTTTCTCACAATGTTAAAACATAAAACAAAGATATGAGAAATGTTCATTTTTTTAAAATACTGACATGCAGTAGTCTCCAAACTTTTTTTTTAAAACTATATGTACTACAGGTAAAATAAATAAATAAATAAATACATAAAAAGAGTACCCTAAATCTCTCTATATAGATCTACATTTCATACATGTACTACCATCCTGGTATATTCTAAAGTACACAGAGTTCAAAGTAAGAGGTTAATGGAAGCTATAGTGTCTTTTCTTGGCCTCCTGCCAGCCTATGGTGAGCACTGTCAGGGGCTGTGGCAATCAGTGAAGTTCCCTGAGATGTTGTCCTGGTGACCCTCACTTCTGTTCTCTGTTACCTTACCCACTGCCTGAAACATGAGAGGCCCTCAAATGGTCAGTGGGCAAGTGTTAATAACTCTTATCTAAGTTGCAACACTCCAAACAAGAGAGAAGAAATAAGGAATATTAAAGCTCAGACAGACAAGATAGAATATGGGTGAACTATACCTCAATGACAGGTTATTTTAGTTGTAAACACATGAAATTCATTTATAAATTCTCTTTTACTTACTTTATTTTCCAAGCCCTCAATAGAGCTGAAATGTTAAGCTCCTCAGAAGTGGTCAGTGAAAACAAGATCGTTCGTTATGAGGTTAAACTTTTACCTAAGGTTAAGGCTCACAGCCTGTCATTTACTGATTCAGCATACCATACACAATCACTGGACACTTCAAAATAAAATACTAGAACTGAATCGACTTTTGAGTTATATCTGTACAAAAAAGTAAATTCCCTTTAGCAACTGCTTTTAATATTTCAGTTGTCAGCACAAGGAATTAGCATTAGGAGTAAAACAGAGAACTATCATCAAAGAAATGACGTGTCCCTTCTGGCTGGTAGCACACAAACCACTGCTTTCATTTTCCTCCAGACTGGCCTCCTTCCAGGAGTATACTCCTCGGCCAAGGTGAACTCAATGGCTGATCACTGTCTTCCTACATCACTGTACCCAGGTCCCAGCCTCCTTATTCTTTCCTGGTATCTGGCTTTCAAACCCTTAAAACAAATTTTACTTTGAATCTCATCATTCTGCTGAACACAGAACAGGCAGGAAAAAATATATTAAAGCACAGACAGACTGGTGATACTGTAAACTTAGGTGTGTAGTCCTAGGATCTCTGCACTGTTTACCAATCCTTTTAGATACCCATCTCCTGCTCTCCAAAATAGTTTAACAACTTGCTGCCTTTCTCCTCCATCAGTTCTCTTCCAGTAGAACACCAAAACTGGGATCTTGGGTTGGGGAAAATGCTCCTCCCACTATCACTAGCAGGATCCCTAATCTGTTGAAAACAAACTAAATGTCTTCTCTTGATCCCATCCTTTTGCTTTTCTAGGATCTTATTATACCTTCTCTCATATACAAGGGGGATTCAGAAAGTTTGTGGAAAAATGAAATTAAAGTACAAATTTATTTGGGCACAAAAAAAAATTTGAATTCCATGTATAATTTTTCCATAATACAAATTTTCCACGAACATTTTGAAGACCCCCATATAGCCAATCTCTACCTGACTGGTTCTTTCCCATGGTTTCTATTCATAAACATGCTTAAGTCTATTCAGACTGTCCTAAAAACTACTAATAGCAAATACCTATTATGATTTATTTCTGCACCAGGCATTGAGCTAAGTTTTGGACACAGTTTATCTCATTTACTCCCCACGCAAACCTCATGACATAGATTTTGTTCTTCCATCCCAATTTTACAAAGGAGAAAACAGGTTCACTGAGAAGTATGTTGGACAATATCAAAACATCAACAAGACTGAGAAGGGGAATTCATATAAAGCAAGTATTTTTAACTATTCCATTAAAGATTCCCTGGGTCTCAAGATGACTACGGAAAAAAAAAAAAAATTCCCACACCTTCACGCTAGAGCTACTGTCAGCCCACTTTTGTGCATTTGTGGCCCACTGGTTCTCATCTTGCCACCAGATCGCTCACCACTCACCTCAAATTTGAAAGAATTTGCTCTGGGATCAACACCTGGTTAAGCAGTTTTCAGAAACACATCACCTCATGGGTTCTCATTCAACTTACAGATTTGCTGCCCTTGGGTAAGAGGACAACCCCAAATCCTATCAGCTACATCTAAAAGAAGACAGCAAATCAGGCAGTTAAGACAAAGAGCCACCCAGGGTACACCCCTAAGAAGAGGTGGTCTCTAGAGGAGAGCAAGCACACCACACACCATGACTGACAGTGCTCACATCAGAAAACTGGGGCTCACTCTTGAAGCCTCCTTCAGTCAGGTCCATGTGGCCGACCTACTCCGAGTCCCTCTGCCCCTGTCTGTCGACAATGAGGTAGCTTTTCCCCATCTGCCTTATCACTTTCTAATCCAAACCATCAATGGCTCCTGTCTGGATAAACACTGTTTATCCTTTGGCAATGATTCACAAGCTCATACACAAAAATAGTTTTATAAAATAAAAAGTGAGTGTTTCGCATATCAGTATTTTATCCTTATAGTATGCAAAGTACTATATATTCTATTCTTGTACTATTTATAAAAAAAAAAATCCAATTGTAATCCATTCAATTTCAATACTCACTAATGGACCAGCACAACATATACCGAAAAATACATAGGCCCAATGGTTACCAGTCAGGGATTAGAATCTTATCCTGAGTTCAAATCCTAGCTCTGCCACTTAATACCTATATAACTTTGGCCAAGTTGCTTATCCTAGTGTGTCTCGGTTCCCTCATCTATAAAACAGGAATAACACCACCTTACTGGAATACTGTAAAGTTCACATGAGAAAAGAGTTTAAGGTTTCAGCATAGAGCTGGTCCAGAGCAAGCAAAGAGTAAATATTAGCAGCTACTATTGTTTATAATATTTAACGAAAGTCTTATATCTCATTTATAAGAGAAGGTGTTCAGAGAAGGCGTTAGATCCCAGAGAAGCAAGGATGGTATGGGATCAAGAGAAGACATTAAAGGCTTGTTTTCAACAGAATTAGGGAGCCTGATCGTGGTAGTGGGAAGAGCATTTTTTCTTATATAACAAGAATAAATTGTAGTCTCTATTGATATCCTCCAATTTATTCTTTCTATATCAAATTGATTTCTCCCTTGCTGAAAACCCCTGGTGTTTTCCACATTTCTTATGATCACTTCAAAATCTTTACCAAGTACTCAAAACCTATGTAGATGAATTTTTCATTCATTAATCCAACCTCATCTCAAGCCACTATCTCCCTCTCTTGCTATTCTCTTCACCATCCTTTCCTTCTCGCCCCACATGCACTAAGCTTTTACTAATTGCAGGAGCTTTGTATATAACCAGGACTTCTACTCTTCAGCTAGCCAACTCTTCACCTTTTAGGTCTCAGCTTAAATGTCACAACCTTGCCTTACCTGTTCTCTGCCATAACACAAGCAAGTAACAGAGTACCCAATCCAAGACAAGGACATGCTGCTTGCTATGGTTTAAATGGATCCCCCAAGATTTCACATATTAAAATTCAGTGAGCCACTGTAACAGTATTAAAATGGGGGAAATTTAATCCTGCTATGGGATTAAGAGGTGGGGCCTTCGGGAGGTGAGTAGACATCAAAATAAGCCCCCATGAGTGGATGGATACTCCTAGGTTTATAAGGAGACAGGGAAAGACACAGACATGCATGCTCTTGCTGTCTCACCACATGATACCCTCATGTTACTCATCAGGAAGAAGGCCCTCCCCACATGTAACCCCTGGAACTTTGACCTCCAAATCTGAG